ATCACCCGGTTTTAAAAGTCCTAATAAATCTGATAATAAGTTCCCAGTTGGTTGAATTATTGGTGGTGGAGCATTAGCAATATTTGTGATAAGGAATAGAAAAAAATATTTGCTTTAATCTCTTAAATGTTGGCGAACTCGAGGATAAACATATTTTTCTTGTGGGTTCTCTTGGGCAAAGATACTAGTCGTGGTTGCTTTTTGATTTTCAAAGTTCTATTCAGACTTCTAATTTTCTTGGTAATTTGTTTTATTTTTGCTTCTTAATTGTTGATTTTCTTTCTTGAATTGATCAGTAAAATTGATAATAAGTGGCAAAGAAGGAGGAAAAACAAATATGAATACTCATCTGAAAAAATTAGACTATCTTTATCAACAAGAGTTAAAGCGACAAAAAAATACCTTGAACCTAATTGCTAGTGAAAATTATCCTTCTAAAAAGGTTTTGCGTTATAGTGGTTCGCTATTGATGACGAAATATTCCGAAGGATATCCGGAGCATCGTTATTATCAAGGTTGTAAATATATTGATAAAATTGAACAGATGGCTATTGAATTAGTGAAAGAGTTATTTGGCGCTGAATATGCTAATGTTCAACCTCATTCTGGATCGCAAGCTAATCAAGCTGTTTATTTAGCACTTTTAAAACCGGGTGATAAAATATTAAGTCTCAATCTCTTATCAGGTGGTCATTTGACCCATGGAGCTAAGGTTAATTTTTCTGGAGTTGTTTATTCGGCTCATTATTATAACGTCGATCCTCTTACTCAGAAATTAGATTATGGAGAGATTAGGAAAGTAGCCAAGGAAGTGAAACCAAATTTGATTGTGGTTGGTTATAGTAATTATAGTTTAAAAATAGATTTTGCCCAGTTTCGTGAGATTGCTGACGAGGTTGGTGCCTATTTATTAGCCGATGTTGCCCATGTAGCGGGTTTGGTGGCAGTCGGCTTATTTCCTGATCCAGTTCCTCACGCTGATGTTATTACTTTTACTGCTCATAAAACATTACGAGGCCCGCGGGGAGCCGTGATTTTGGCCAAAAAAGAATTGGGTCAAAAAATCGATCGAGCAGTTTTTCCTGGCAATCAAGGTGGACCAGCCCAAAATATTATTGCAGCAAAATCTCAATGTTTTTATGAAGCCTTACAACCCAATTTCAAACAGTATCAAGAAAAAGTACTAGCAAACGCCAAAACCATGGCCGATTATTTCTTACAAAAAGGAGTAAAAATGATTAGCGGTGGTACTGAAACGCATTTGTTGACTATTGATACTAAAATCAGTTATAATTTGACGGGCAAAGAAGCTGCCGAAAGATTAGAAAAGATGGGAATTGTCTGTAATAAGCAAATGATACCCTATGATAAAGAAAAACCCTCAATCGCTAGTGGTATTCGATTAGGTTCACCAGCTTTAACTACTCGGGGATTAGGCCAGGAAGAATTTCAAAAAATTGCGGAAATGATTGATATGATTCTTCAAAAACATGTTAACAAGGAAGAAAATAAAAAGACAAAAAATAGTGTTTTGTATTTAACGAGGAAGTTTTCTTTGAGAAAAGTTTAATTAAAAAATTGCGGGAAATTTTTTATTTTTTAAACACACAATTGCAATAATAACTACCGCTAATATTAACAATCCTGTTAGTAAATAAATAAGACGATGAGAAGGATTTGATGATTTAATTTCTTTTTTTAACACGGCTTTATAACACTGAACTAAATGCGTAACCCCGTTGCTAGCGCGGTGCGGCTTCTCTTCGGCAGGTAAAGAATATGCTTGAGCAATTTTGTCTTTAGAAAGTCCTTCAGTTTTACCAAATTTCTTGGCTCAATGCATAGAGGCTAAATCTAGTCAATGATAAGGTCATTTAAGCCTTTGTTGCTCACTGGGAGAAATAATTTGATTAAAAAATGCTCGATCGAAGCAAGGAATTTGACAAATAAAGAGCGAATTATATCTACTAATATTGTTAGCCTTGAATATTTTTTTGATTTCTTCTCTAACCACTTCAACTTCTTTACCCTTTTCCACTATTTCTTTTCAAGTAAAGCCATTAACTTGCAAGGCTTGGGGCGAACCATTAGTCCACTGTTCTGAAGTAATTTTGACAACTTGGGAATATTCTCCCATTTTTTTGTTGGTTTGTAAGTCAATGATTTGAAAGGCTATTTCTAACGCTTGGCATTTACTGGCATCTAACCCATTAGTTTCTATGTCTAAAAATATTGCCAGCATTATTTTATTAAATTCAATTCGGTAGTTATTTCAATTTCTCTTTGATTTTCTGAAATTAATCCGGTAATTGCTATTTTATAAATTAGTTTAAAGGGTTTTCTTATCATATATATTATTTTTAACTTTTTTGATGTAATCAAATCTGAAATTTATTGGTTGAG